TTGGAAAACACAAGACAGTGTGTGCTGTCAGTTTTGCTGCAATGAGCTGGATGTTCTGTATGGACATAATTCCTACATTGGCTTTGTAAGTTACGTACTTCTATGGAGTGCAAATTTTGAGAAACTTGCCTGCCAGAAATTTGCCGGAAGATAATTTTAATGGAAGAAACTATATAAAGCACTGTCCTGAATAGAGTTGTATTTTGCCATATACTTGGGCACTTTACAAAATCAGAGTACAAATTCCTATGACTTCTTCAGAAACCAGCTGCCAAGGATATGAAGTATGAAGTGACAGCAGAAGCACCACGGAAGATGGTGGAAGGGAGGCCGTAGTCATTAGGCCTAGTGCTGGCCCTAGAAGCTGGCCGTCCATTAGCAGCCTGTATAGATAATGGGGAGAAAGACATTTTGGTAGATGCGTAGCACCTAGAGTCGAGCAGGTGTGAGTGCCCTCGGGTTGCCACTGGAGGCAGCTAGGAAACTGCCACCCTCCAGCTGAAGTTAGTCTTTGTGGATGCTCTCCCTAGTATTTGAAATATCAACTTCAATTAGACCATTAACACTGGTTTGCATGGGCAGAAATATTGAATAGAAGCTTTTTCTGACCACAGGTTAATTAAAGTGTAAGAGATGAAAGCTGGCCATATTTTTTCCTCTTACATGTAAGCCTCAAACATTTGAAATTCTGCAAAACACAGATAGAAGAAAAGAATTTTCTTTCACATCAACTTTAGTAATGACTTGGGTATTTACTAATGACTCAGGGAAGCAGATACCACATATTAAAGAATACAGGAATGAAGAGGACATGGTAGAGCTTGGAGCTGGATATATCCTTCAGTTGAGAAATGGCTGTCAACAAAACTTATCGTTTGGTTATAATTATAATTTCTCCACCCTTTCTACTCAGCTGAATGAATTTAATCTGTTGCAGACAGAGGTGTTATTTAAGGTCATGTTTCTTACTGTTATGTACGGTTTAAAAATAAGAACAGAAAAAAAAAGTTTCCTTGTTATCTTCATTCTCTATGCACTGGTTTGGTAAACTCTTAGATACAAGGAATTAGGAAACAAAGTCTTAAACTGAAGCATTGTCAGGCGCCGGACTCCAGAGAAAATCCAGAGACAAATTCAGAGAAAAACTATATGCCATTAATCTACTTCTATAATAAGCTGAAATCCCAAATCTGATTTTTAGGAAAAAGTGTGAGCTGCCAGCCAGCAGTGCACTTTTATTCAGTAGAGTGCCTAGCCAAATGATTAACTTTAAGCAAATTCTCCAGTTTCATTGATCTGAGAATGTTTCCCTGATGTCAGAATCAGAATTTAATGAACAAGCCTGGATTTAAATGTATGCTGATTTACAGTCTGAATATGAACCAGTATCAAATTTTGCTTTTAGGATCCATTAATAATAGGTGGTACTGTACTGCAAGACAGCAGTCAGAATATATGAACCCTTAGCCCTTCACACCTTCATCAGTGATGAGGTGCTGTCAGCATCCACTCAAGTGACCTGGGGGGTCCTGTCATGTTAATTCCTTTTCCTGGTTTAAATCTGATTTCTTTATGAGGTGCAAAAAACAGGGTTGATTTTTTTTTTTAAATATTCAGCTTTTTCCTAGCCTATAAAAAGCAGGTTTTATTGTCAAGTAATTGCTTCCTTTAGTATTATCCTTTTTTTTTTTTAATGAAGCTGTGAAAGTTGTGGATTACTGTACATAGCGACAATGACACAACCAAGAGATATGTTGAAAAAAGCAATATGGGAATACAGAAGTATTTATTAAGATGACACACAAATATGCCGGTGTATTTAGATTATGCAGAAGCTTTAAACGACTGTGGTGGATAAAAGTGAAGTTTAAGATGATGAAATAACTGACAAATGAAGCAGATATTAATGTTTATTAAATAGTTACATTTGTCATTTAAGGCTGTAGATTTGACATGAAATGTATTGCACATAAATAGTAAGATACATTATAGATCCCTCACTGTTCCATTTTTCTGTCAGTAAAACTTTTCTGCCTGTCTGAAAGAAGAAGAGGGATCTTCAGGCTTTTGAGCTAGGAATCAGCATGTGCTGAAGTGTGGGGAGTTTGACAAAACAGCACATAGGAGGAACAAACATCAAACCAGAATGACTGAGAAATGGTAGAGAAACATGAAACCCGACAGCTTACCCTGCAAAGAAATTGAGCATATAGAGGATGAGAAGCCATGCTGGAGCTCTGAAAGTGAAAAAGAGGATTTATCTCGTAGCCAGGTGTCAGGAGGGGAAAGTCTCCAGTGGCTTTTGAGGACTCCAGTGTCAAGTCATGACAGCAAGGACAAAAATACTGCGCTCAGTCGATGTCATCTACGCCCTGCAGACGTCAGGTCAGCACCTCGGAAAGACTACTTTTATCTTTGTCCTCATAACAAATTCTTCAGAAGAGCAATGATTTTGCTTCTGAAATTCTCCAAATGCATTTTCCTGCTGAAAAAGGCTGAACACTCTTTACATTGTGTTCATTTCCACTGTCATTTCAGGCAGCATCCCCTGCGCTATTCGTATGACAATGTGCTAGCCTGCGTCCTTGCCAGAGGCTCAGAAAGGCTTCTTGCAGGCAAGTGAGGAAACATGTAAGAGAAGCCTGATCCTAGGACAGCAGTGCAGCGGAAAAATGGCTCCTGAGCTTAACACAGATGAGCCGAAGGAATGCTCCTACTTACACTTCACCTTGTTTATCAGGTGTTTGTAGTCAAAAAACACCCGACGCATTCTCAGGAGACAGTATGAGACGGTATCAGATGGGCTCTATGATTCGAGACTGCACCTTAAGCAGGAGAAAGGTTGACATAGGAGGAATTATGTTGCTATCCCACTGAAGACCTCCGAATCTTAGGACACGCCAGTTTTAGGTCTCTGTGCACCAGCAGGTTCCTCTAAAGTTGCTCCAGCACCTACTCTGTATAAACACCTAATTCAGCCTGATCAAAAATTTCCAGCAAACTAACTGGAAACTTTCTCAAATAATACCATTTTCTTCTTCCACTGGATTGGAAGAAAGTGCTTTTTTCAAAAATGGGAAAAAATAAAAAGTTCACTGTGATTTTTTTTCTAATGGGAAAAACTCGCTATGACATTCTTAATAGAAAAACGTGGCTGGGTTTCTGAATTGTATCTCTTCGTGAAAATACACAGCCCTTAGCATATGAAAATTATCGGAAAGTGACAGGGGAATAATTTCAGGAGACTCTTGTCAAATTATTAGCAACATGCTCCATAGAGAACCACAAAGAAAAGGGAAATCTCATAAAATACAAAAGGGCAAAGCTCTGAAAGAAAGTTCTGTTTTATAATTCATTTTCTACATTCCCTCTCTGTTCTCAACCACAGAAACCTCCTTTTTAATTAAATTATCTGCCAGCAGAGAAATACATGGAATTATAATGCACAAGAACACATTGCTACTTCAATATTCTACACTATTTATAAGACAGCACAAGGCACAGTTTCTGACTTTTAAATACTGGCAAACCAAATAATTTTCATTTCTTAGGCATTTATCCATGCCAAATTTAGAACATATTAAATTCACCATCACATCCTGAGATCTTTTTGCTCAGAAAGATACCAGGTCAGACTTCCATTTACGCTACATTTACATTTATATCCATTTTAAAGACCCTCTTCTCTGCCAGAATGGTTTAATGGTTCTCGCTAAAAGAAAGCAGAGTCTATATTGTATCTTTAAAAGCTGATTATTCAAAAAGGCATTGATTACATAGCAAAGTACACTGTATGACACAGAACCTCAGCTGCCTGATATTGTTGTAGTTTCATTTCCAGCAGTCAAGTTATGCGGGTTTCCCTCAGCTGGGGATCTAGTCATGTATATTCTGTATAATTAGAGGATATATATTTTAAGCAATAACACACAGAGCTCTGTTTTGTATATTTGGCAAATATTTCCGCACTTCAACCAACTGTGGAAACTGTGAGTTTGGAAGCTAAATGTACCAATTACACCCAAAGTATATCCATATCCTCCTTTTAAATTTTGCAGGTCTTGATTAAACCACCCATTGTCTTGGAGATACTCCAGGTTTATACCGTTGCATCTGAACACAGAATATTATGAGGCTATACATAATTTATATAGATCAGCACTAATTATTATGAAAAGACTCAGGTAGCTAAAGCTTATTTTTTTATACCAGACCTGATTTTCACTGTCAGCTGTGAGGATGGAATTGCACCTTGTACGGACAGTAAACAGTCCCATCTCCCTTTAGATTCCGGACATAGGTCTCAAGGAGAATTTACACACGACGTCATAGGCTTGGGACAGACAGTACATGTCATCCCAGCAGCACTAACTCCTGTCAGTGATGGCAAATGAAAATGGGGTTTGGGTTTTTTAAATTAAAAAGCCTGTATTATTAAAGTCAGCTATAATCAGTTGGGACTGAAGGCCCATTTGTGCTTTCATTTGCTGTGGTGAAACATCAGAGTTATCCCATTGTCCTCTGTGGAATTACTGTAGGGTTTTATTCTCGTAAATGAGAAGAGAATTTCTCTCTTAATCCTGTCTTTGAACCTAAGTGATTACAGTCTGAATTGCCTCTATGAATGAGGCAAATGCATGTCCCCATTTAACATATTCTACAGGTTTCACAGAATCATTTTCTGCATGCCTACACTGATTTTACAGGATTTTAACATCGATCAAAAGCCGGATTAAAAAAGAAGAAGAAGAAGAAGAAGAAGAAGAAGAAGAAGAAGAAGAAGAAGAAGAAGAAGAAGAAGAAGAAGAAGAAGAAGAAGAAGAAGAAGAAGAAGAAGAAGAAGAAGAAGAAGAAGAAGAAGAAGAAGAAGAAGAAGAAGAAGAAGAAGAAGAAGAAGAAGAAGAAGAAGAAGAAGAAGAAGAAGAAGAAGAAGAAGAAGAAGAAGAAGAAGGAGAAGAAGAAGGACTCTTTGATGTCCTAATTTTGTGCTGGGATGGGTGTCCTCTGTAGTGACAGTCTCCCTGTGGTTCATATTGTTTCTAATGGTTTTAGATGGACACTCCTGAAAACTACTTCTTTCTTTGAAAAAAAATCAATAAACGTATCTTTGTGCTAAAGCGCACAACTGTACAAAGAAAACAGAACAAAAGACAGCTGATGAAAACCATAGGTAGTAGCAGGTCCGACTATGCCTTATAATAAGATTCAGATATAACTGCTGCGAACATTAAAGCAGTAGAAGGAGCAAATATGCAGAGTGTATAATTTCAAAGTGACAACAATCAAAGTTCCTTGGAAAAAGAAGAAGAACATTACCCATTTCGTACTTGTTATGTAATTGTGCTTGTCCTTGGATGTTTCACCTGCAACCACACTTCCAGCAGTTTGGTGTAGAATTTTTATTACTTCTTTATATTTTGTCATCATCATCACTATTAATTTTTTTAAATGCAACTGGGCTTGCCTGCTTTAAAGAGGTTTTTGAAACATCTGTGTGCATGGTGGACATGGCTATGGTCTCATAATCCTCCTCACGGGAGCGGAAATGACAAAAATGAAATAAAAACTGCAAGTCCCTTTGGAAGTTCTTATTGAGAAACCCGTAGAAGATGGGGTTCACGCAGGTAGAGATCATGGCGGTGAGGTGGCAAATCAGGAACAAAAGGTTGTGGCTGCAGGTAGCGACAGGCAGAATTTCATGGTTCCAATCAAACACGATATTGAAGATGGTGAGAGGCAGCCAGCAAACTGCAAATGCCACCACTATTGAGATCAGCATGATGTTGATCCTTTTGGTTTCAGAGGATCTGTACTTATTGTCTCTCATCTTGTCCATCATGTTGCTCCTTTTTTTTAATCGTATGTATATCTGCAGGAAATTCAAGAAAGAGAAACACGAGGGATAATTTAACCTACAACTGTCATCGTTGCAAGGATAAACAAACACCAGACAGAAAGAAAGACACATCGCGAGGGGATTCTCTCTTACCTTCAAGTAGCAAATAAATATAAAACAAAGAGGTCCAAAGTACTGAATCACCAAAAGCGTCGTGGTATAAGAAAGCCTGGCGGTGTCCAAGGGGAACAGGTCCAAACACACATATTTGTCCTTATATTCATCAAACGTTATGTTTCTGAAGGGTTCGTCCGTTAACACGTGGTAGATCAGGAAAGGCAAAGAGGAAGCTGTGGCTAAAATCCATATGGCAGCGATCCCCAGGTAGGCATGTCTGTTGTTGGGCCTCCAGCCACGGGGGTTGATGATCAGCTGATGGCGTTCGATAGCAATGAGGACTAAAGAAAAGACCGAGACGGTGATGGAGGCACATTGCACGAAAGGATTCAATTTGCACATGGCCTCCCCAAAAATCCAGTGGTCCATTAAAGTATACACAAAGGTAAAGGGAAGACACATGATGGTCACTAGAAGATCAGAAAAGGACAGGTTGACAATGAGGATGTTGGTAACATTGCGCATCTCCTTTTGTTTTAAAATAATGACGATCAAGGCCAGATTCCCAGAGACTCCCAGAATTATCACAGTCCCGTAAGCCAAGGCCAAAGTGAAGACCATGGCCAAAGGCACACGGCAATCCTCATCCTCAAACTGCAAGATCTGCGAGTTCTTCTCCGAAAAATTCAGGTGGCCGGAACTATTTCCCAGGGGGGCGAGACCCGAAGCGTTCATGTTGGGGGAGAAGGGCAGAGGGCAGGATCGAAATGCAGGGCTGCAAGCGCGGGGCGCGACCCCTTCCCGGCCCTTTCCCGCCGGCACAAGTTACACGAAATAACGAGCTGAGAAGCGATTTCAGTCTTCCACCAGCGTAGCCTTTACTCGATGTTTTACATCTCCTTTTTACAAGTTCAATCTGCAAAGGTCTGCTTTCTCAAGCTGCTCTAAGTGGAATTATATCCAGCCATCACATAAGGGGAGGGGGAAACCCATCTGACTAATGTGAGGGGCGGAAAAATCACTCAAAAAACGGCATTCTTTTTTTACCTAATACATACACTTGTTGTTGAGCGGCCGAGTGCCCACAGCAGCACTGGCACTGAGTCAAAGGCAAATCAGGAACTCTGAACACCTTAATCTCAGCTAGCAGGGCTGTGCAGCAAAGAAAGAACAAAACAAGATGAAAGACAAAAAATAGCAAAAATTAAGCACTGCAGAAAATTTCTTTACCCATGCAACACAAATAGGCATGCCTAAATAACCACCCCTTTGCAAGGCCTTGGATTTTAAAATCAGAGAAACTCAGGCATATGTGTTCAGGAGGAAAAAAAAAAAAAAGAAAGAAATCAAATAATCTGACACACCTTTGCTCCAATGCGCCATTAGTGGCAGCCGCGCAGAATCTGGAACTTTCCCTCTGCCCACTCTCCCATGAGCTAAATTTATTGCTTACTTAACCTTAGGTTATGGTAATGAAAGTAATGACACTTAAAATTCACACAAGTGGGTTTCAAACCCAGCTCCATATGGCGCTTATCACAAAAGCTGTAAAAACATTGCCCGCTAACATGTACTTCATTAAAAGTTACCCTAAACGGGTGAGCTTTTGGTCTTAAATTATATTTGATATAAATCTCAGTGCCACCTAAGGCTCCAGGGCAGAATCGTCTTTGTTACTGGTGGCAGACACCGTTTTAACCAGCCGCGTGCTGGGGACCAGAGCTGGGGCTGCCTCCTCACTGGGGCAGAGCCAGCGTCCCAGGGCTGGGCTTGCAGTGCCGCTTCCTCCTAAGGGTCAGCAGAAGGGTGACCATGCCAACACCATGCCTTGTCACTGGCATGATGAGCTCACCTCCGCTGGCTCTGCTGGCTCTTTATAATCACCACGGGGCTACATGAGACCACGGCAGGTGATACAGCTTGCCTCTGAGTGACACTTTGCTGTCAAAGTTAACATCAGTGGCTTCGGACAAAAGGCATCTCTGCCTGAGGTTTGGCTATTCTGATTTTCAAGCTAGCTAGGCATGCACCTGAGCATAACCTCTCAGACCTGCTGCCTCTGCTAACTAAATTTATCAGGTCTGCCTAGTCCACAAAGTCTGTTTCAGGGTCCAATAAAGAACCTCCCACCCCCCAGGGCCTCTTGAAGCATCGCTTCAGCCAGAACCAGAAGTAGGTGCTTTACACAAAGGGCAAGAGTGTGGGTGATGCGGAGAGTCAGGACTCCTCAATTTCCAACAGTATGACTTTAGCCTAGCCCAAAAATCGTCTGGATTTAATCATGATCTCCACTGTCACTCATACAGCATGAGGTGGGCAGTCCAGCCCTGGGACTTGACGGGGCGATGGCAGGAGCAGAGTGGGTGAGGAGCCATGTCCTGCAAGGTGAGAACTGGGCAGGTTTTCTCACCAGCTGGGACCTCATTGCACCCAGCAACGAGGTGGCCTAGGTTTCAGGCTCTTGTTTTTTCTTTTCCCTTAGCCAAGCTCTGCTCTTGCTTGTTTGTTAAGTATCAAACTCAAAACCAGAAAATGCCACTGCTCCTTCTTCCCTCGCCTCTCCCCATAGCAGAGATGCAACCTAAGAGCACGGCTGGGAACCAGCTCAGAAACACAGCACTGCTGGCAGGTGACAAGGAGTCCTTCCTCCCTGCCCACCTCTCTAAAATGGACCAGACATCAGGAGGTGATGAAGTTGCATCTCCTGGACAGCTGCACTGTTCCCTGTCCCCTACCCCACCAGCTCCCAAGCCAGGAGGGAGAGCCGTCCCCATCCTGGGTACTGGCGTGTGGTGGGGAGAGCCCCCAGCTCTGCAGACCCCTCCAGGTGATAGCACAGTCTCCCCCACCACACATACCCTTCCGACGCTCCAGGAGGATTTTGGTCAAAAGTTTAGCACCAACAGACAGAAAGGGTGAAATAAGGTGCTGTGAGCTGACTGGAAATGCACTGTAAAAACTATTGCAGCTCTTTGAAAGAGAGCACAAAATGCTGTCAGCCCAAGCTGATGGTTCATGCAGCCGCTTGCAAGTCCAACCTGGAGCCTACCCCTCCCTGGGATTTTGTCATCTGCACCTAAGAGAGCACGCAAACACCAGCCTCACCGGCACACAACCACCCACAGTCACGGGAAAGCAACCGCAGGGGAAACTCACCTTGCAACTGCTCTGCCCGTCTTTGATCTGCTCAGGAGCTGGCTCAGGAGGCTGGAAGGAGAAGAAGGAAAAAAAAGAGGAAGGATCCTCTGGTATTCCTCCAGCTGAGATCCTAAAGATTGGTGAGGAAGGCTTGGAGACTCCCCCTTAAAGCCGAACTCCACCTTATCCCAGTATCACATGATGGTGCTCTGCTGAGCAGATCCTGAAAACCTCACTGCAAGCACATCACCTTTAAATTACACATCTGGGGGTGGGTTGCCTAGTAATTCTGAAACAAATGCAATTAAATATTAAAACAAAAGAGGAGGGGGGAGAGCGCAGGGAAAAGCTCAGGAAGGGAGACAGTTTCAAGTCGCTGTGTGGCTGTTCCAGCGTTTTGTCTGCAAGTTATTGCCATCTCGTGGCCAAGCTAAAGATGGAGATAGAAGCTTTGTTGGAAAGTGGACAAGGAGGCGATTTTAAGTATAAAGAGCAAGCGACAAAGTTCGGGTTTGGCTTTTTAAACCAGTACAACTAGCTTCTGGTCTGTATTTATCATGAAGAGATTAATAAGAATCGTCAAGTTGCTGTTCTTGCTATTTTTTTTTCAGCTAGAAGCAATAAGAAACTATTTTAAAAGTAAATTAAGACAATAAAGTATGAAACCTCAAGAAAATGCAGCTGTCACTGTGGCCCTTGTGGGTATTTTTCTGATTCATCCCAGCCAAGTGGTTCACCATCCTGTATGACCCGTGGAAAAAGAGAGGCATTTCTGTAGGTTCATACAGACCATTGGGATACTCCAGGGAGCTGGAAGGAAAATGGACCCCTGAAAATAAAGAACAAATCTCCACAGTGAGATGCAGAGCTGGAAAGGTGGTGGCTGTTGCCTTGGCCAGCTCTTCTGCTTCTTTTGAAAACTCCAGTTTCCAGCAACCAGACTTTTTTTCTTTTATGCAGCTGGCATGAGTAGCTCTGCAAACTACTACCAGTTGTAGGAGGATAGTTCACTGTTTACTGAACAAATTCATAAAAAGCAACATGGAAAATTTTATTTTCTATTCGCTCTTTTCATGATCCTGAGATACCTTGCTCTCTCACTCACAGAAAGCACTGCTACAGAAGATCTGCTTCAATAGGCGTAAAACCCAGTGAGTTTGGAAGCCGGTACAGAAGTCCGAGAGAAGTTACCCACATAAACTTAAGCAGCACTTTAAAAATGCCTTGACAAACCCTGCAGGCTGTATTAGAAGTTTGAATTTCTTGGAAGACGGAAGTGCCCTAACTCTTCCAAAGCTCCAGATTAATTTTTCAAGTGTAAGGAGTTACAGTCTCTGACATTCTTACCTTCAGGCTCTTATATGGCAACACGGTTATGTTGTGGATAACTCTCAAGTGAGGAACCATGCTAATTATAGCTAAAAAATCAGTTGCACATACATAATAAATGATTGTAACATTTTTTTGCAGAATGAGCCTCCTGGGAAGGTTTCAGAATGTAGCACTGAGGTTGATGCTTACACTGTATTTCCAGGAGCTCGGCTCAACTGCATTGTAACTGCAGTCCTCGATGTGAGAAAGGGAAGTGCAGGCATAGCTCAATGTTGCTATATAGCAGTAGCTGGGGCACCGCTGATATTTTACCAGCAGCAGCCGGAAGGTAAGTGCAGGCTGTATATAATGCCTCTCGAGAACTTCAGTCATACCTGGGTCATTAACATGCACCAGTCTCCATCTGAGCAGAGGTGTATACACTCAGGCAGAGATCTAAGCTGAAGATTCCATAAAGATCATATTTCTGTCTGAAGCAGTGACGCTCTAGGACATGTAGAACTGAGGACTCTCATTGCTATGGATGTGGAATGATCCGTTCACATTACAGAAAAAGAGAATTATTGTCCAATAATTTTTAAGGGCAATAGATGCATTGCTAGGCAGGGAAAAGTCTTTTTCTATGCCAGGATGATCCCACTACTTCCCTGTACTGCTCTTACTCATATGGGCAAGACGGCTATTTTAAAAATTAAAATAAGCATTCTGTGATACAGAATTATAGTAGTCTGCCAACAGGTATGCAGAGCAGAGATACATTTTTAGGACCAGTCCAGAATAAGAAGCTTGGGTTTACATGACAAGGTTTTGGTGGCAGGGGGGCTGCAGGGGTGGCTTCTCTGAGAAGACATCAGGAGCTGCCCCCATGTCGGACAGAGCCATTTTCAGGCAACTCCAAAATGGACCCACTGCTGGCCAAAGATGAGCCCATCAGTGCTGTTGATGGTGCCCCTGTGATAACATATTTAAGAAAGGGTAAAAAGCGGTGCATACCAGTTTTAAGAGAGAGGAGTGAGAAAAATGTGAGAGAACCAGCTCTTCAGACACCAAGGTCAGGGAAGAAGGAGGGGGAGGCGGTGCTCCAGGCGCAGGAGGGCCCTGCAGCCCATGGTGAGGACCATGGTGACATAGCTTGTCCCCTTGCAACCCATGAAGGACCATAGTGGAGCAGATATCCACATTGCAGCCTGTGGAGAAGAGCCCTCGCAGGAGCAGGTTTTTTGGCAGGCACTGCAGCCCGTGGGGGACCTGCACTGAAGCAGTCT